TTGGGTCCAAAATGCTTGTGAAAGGACACCCAGTCACGAATTCCCACGATGTGAGGTAACACGCGAGCCACCCAATCTTCAATATCAAAGACAGGAGAAGGTGCATGCCTCTCAGCTGAAAAACAAGGAAGCCGTGAGGGAGCCAAAAATGAAAGGATGAAAGAATAATAACGAGCATACGGTAAGACACTTATGATTATAGTTCCTCTGCTCGAGAAACCCATTCGGGTCCACTACCAGGTGCTCGGCCTTGATGAAGAAGTACTTATGCCAGAACTTCTGATTCGTTTTGTCATCCATCCTGACCACCATCCCTCTAGTCCCACGATGTCTTAGTTGTATCAAAGTACCTCTATAAAAACTAGGAGAAAATAGATGCATCAGGTGGCGAACGTTGACCTCACAGCCAGCCAACTCTGCATACTTTGTCAGTATCAAGAAAACTTTATAGAAATAGGGGGAGCGTTGCACCGGGCAAACATTGTAAAATCAGCAAAAATCCTCCATTAGCAGAAGGAGAGGAAGAGTATAGCCAATCAAGAATGGATAGACATAGAAGGCACAGTATCCGGGTCGATGAACCTACACAATGTCGCTTCCTGCCGGAACAATTTCGATGTGGGGAGGAATGCTATATTTGGATCGGAGGTCAGCTATGTGAGACGGACCCGTCTTAGAAAGTCTCTGAGTAGGAGCAGGAGCAGGCTCCTTTGGGAAATCATTCCTAACCAAAGGGTTTTTGGGGACTATCTCCTCCGCGGTAGGGAAGCTTTCATCCTCTTCAGTCATGAATTCCTCACCACTAGGAGGAAGGGCCACCGATAATAGAGTGACATCGAAAACCTTTTCGTAAATGTAAGGAGATTGTGACATATTTCAGTAATGAAATGTATGCAACAAAGTCTGAAGAAGAAGATAACAACTGGGTAAGAAAGAAAGGACTAGAACTGAAGAAGCTACGGAAAATAAAAAACAGAAATTGGAGAAGAAGATTAGAGAAGAACAATACTCTTGCAACGTGAGGAATGGGGAAAACTTCCAAAAAATGAAACCCCCACCTATTTATAGGGTTGGGTGGCATGAGAATCGGAGCAAAGGACCGTTAATGACACCAAAATCGAAGCGGCAAATGCATAGACGCTGCACTGGGAAGATGCATAATGATGATGCGTATGGCCATGATGTCACCTCACGTTAACCACACCAACTGCAGCCTTGCTGGCCACCCCGTCTTCTCGACCTCGGCTGATTCGACTTATTCAACACGACTAAATTTCTCCTAAACGGAGACGAACCAAATCTGCTTATCGAGGGCGTGCAAGACCACGACCTCAACAAGTGAAGGGACTAACTGTATTGGTCTAAATTTGGCGACTTGGTAACGGTAGATAAATGGGATCAAGGACGGGGTTGATCACGGTGTAATAGCGGGAAGCCATCTTTGAGAGGATTGTTGTCAAGGACGAGCAGCTGGAATAAAGAAATAACGGTAGGATAGGTTCAGAAATAGACATAAGGAATATTCCTTTGGATATTCCTTATTTTGTATTTTATAGGGTTTCTTGAAAATATCCCTTATAAATAAGAAGAGATAGAGAACAAAAGGGGGATCTTCACTTTTTGACAAGAGCATATTGTAAAAGGTTGACTAGAAGGAATATACAAAAAGTTGTCTTGTTCACTGATTATCCTATTGAAGCACATGTTGTTTAATCTTTGTTTATAAGATCCAAACATTCCTTATCCATCTCCACCTCTCATTTTTCCACCTCGCTGACAGGAGAAAGAACCATCCAAATCATACAATAATTAGGTGGTAGATTCTTTCTTATTACATTTATTACCATTATCTATATTTATTGTATGTTCATGTTACAATGTTTATTGATAATCATTGAGTACAAATCTGCTATTTAATGCTCTCAAACACCGTTCATCTTATCGACATCCTACAATATTTGATCTAGAATTTATTATATTTAACTAAGATTCACCCTTCGTTTCATCATTAATTAGTTTAACAAAGAGCTTAACACTTTTTGTCAAACAAGCCCTAATACAATTCACTCCAAGCTCCAATTGTCCCAAGGAGCTCTACACTTTGCTCCATTGATGACTCAAATACGCAACCGTAGAGAGGACGGTGGAAAGTATTTATCACTTAAGCAGCAAGGTCCCAATGAAGGATAGGGTGTAATAAGGTCCTAGTGACCACTCGTTTTTTCTTTTGTTTTATATTTCAAATCTTTTAGATAAGTATAACCTATGGGCATTACGTTTAAACAATGCGAATAAGTACATAACATATGTTTATATATACATTTTTATCACTAAATTATTAGTAACTAATATATATATATATACCTTAATGTATGACTTAACCATGATAGAAAGTATGGTTTAATGTAATGACCAGCATATCATGCATGTGTATGTCATGGATGACTTTTCAGCCATGTCCCATGACCCCTTGGACGCGCCCCATGGCATCCTGGCAAGCCTCCCAACACCTAGCGCCATAGACAGTGCCATGGTCTTGGTCGGGCATGTGCCTGTGTCGCCCCACCAATAGCCATTGCCAGTGCTTGGCCACAGGCAGTTGCCAACAGCACCGCACGCGAAGACTCTGATGCTAAAGACAAAGTTCCTGCAAACAGGTCTCTTCTACCTTGTAGGAATATAAGTCATTTCTATTGTAAATATAGAGTAGTTTTTCTTCATGTATTTCCATTATGTCTCTCTAGCTTAGTTATATCAAGTTCTATAACTTTGATTTATTTTGTTTAAGCATTATTAGGGGGGATCAAGCAAACCAACAATTCTCTGTATTGGTGTCTCTCCCCCTCAACACCGTGTTGTCTTTCTGTAATAGCTTTCATTAATTCAATCAAGCTTTATTTCATTCTCATTCGCTTTTATGTTATCTTAATTGGTCTTGACACTAATTTTTCCGTATGGCACTATCAGTCTCCTCTAGCGTCCGGAGGGGACCCCAGCTGGCAGATAGTAACCGCACAGACATCGGTTGCTTAGCCTTATGCCCTTCCAAGGGATCTCAGGAAGGCGATGCATAACAGTTGGTATCAGAGCCTAGGCAAGACATCGGACGAGGGAACACATTGTCATTACCACCATTTTCAACCATGGTGAATCAGGGGCACCGCAATGCGGCCCTTGAAGAGATGATTAGCATATTACAACCTATCATAAATATAGTGCTTGATTTAAGAACCATCCTAGTGCAAAGGTTAGATGACCTGGACCGCAGGATGCAGCAGGCCAAAGGTGATATTCCAATATCAGTCATGACTTTGAAGGAGACCGGCAAACGGCGCCAACAGAGGCAGCCAGAATTTTCAGTAAATTTGAGAGCCTCCAACATGAGCGGACCGAGGATTTAGCTTATATGGCACAAGAGGCAGACAGGGTGACTTCCATACAGCAAACCATAGACAACTTGACAGGCCAGTTTAATGTTGTCAACGCTGCACTACAATGCCTACTTTGAGGAGGCGGAAACCAGATCGGGGGTGATGTGAACCTCGCCCCTGTGCCACAAAAGCTGAAGATTCCTGAGCTAAAACCATACAATGGGGCTCGTAATGCCAAGGAAGTGGAGAACTTCATCATCAAATAGTACTTTGATGTCGTTAGGGAGTTAGAAGAAGCAAAAAAGGTAGAAACTACTCCCATTTATCTCAGGTTGATGCTAAACTGTGGTGGCGGGTGAAATACAAAGCCATCAAGGCTGGTTAAGATACTCTCAAGACATGGGAAGACTTGAAGGCAACCATACGCCTATAGTTCTTCCTAGAAAAACATTGAGTACAATGCACGGAGAAAGCTACGGGAGCTCCGCTAGACCAAGTCAGTGCGGGATTACGTGTTGGAATTCTCCGCGCTCATGCAGAACATACGGGATATGGGGGACAAAGAAAAACTCTTCATATTCCCGGAAGGTTTGAAACCTTTTGCCCGTATGAAGCTACAAAGACAAAGGGTAGACATTTTACCCAAGGCGATCCAAGCAGTGGAATGCCTTTGGGACTATCAAGTGGAAGCTCGGAAGGATAGGCCTTAACCGCCTGTCCGAGGAGGATACAAAGGAGGCCATCCTAGCAATGGTGGCCCTAGCAGAAGTGGAGGAGATCGAAGTGCAACCAAATCTAAGACTCCTTCCTCAGCAGCAATAGTGATGCGTTTGACAACAACGATCGGGGGGAAGCCCCCTTCAGGATACCTTCATTGCGGTGGGCCACATTAGAACAATGAATGTCCACAGGGACAAATGAACGCCCATCAAACTTTTGATGATGGGACAGATGACGACACAGATGCTGCTGACCAGACCAGACAAATAGGTGCCTTCAACATACTTGTTTGTTCTATTTCTGAGGCCATAGCGGGAACTAGTGCCTACATCCGTAAAAAGAAGGGCCCCTACCCAACCACCAAGAAAGTGAAAAATAAGGTGGATGATGGGCCTCCTCTTAACCAAGAGAAGACCTTGATGTTCGTCGAAATGAAAGTTAATGGCAAGCCTATTCAGGCGATGATAGACACGGGCGCTACTCACAACTACTTAGCCTTAACTCAGGTAGATGGCCTTGGTCTAGTCATGGGAAAGTGCAGAGATTGTGTCAAAGCTATCAACTAACCGCCTCAACCAGTAGGTAAAATAGCCGAAGGAGTTCTAGTGAAGCTTGGTCCTTATGAAGGAAAATTTAACTTGCGCGTGGTGATCATAGATGACTTCGAGCTGATAGTTGGATTGGAATTCATGAGACAAACCAACACCATTCCTATACCTTATGCAGATATGCTACTGATGATGGGAGCCCACAAGACCAAGCCCTGTATTATCCCATGCACGACCATAAAGATAGCCGCGGAGAACATCTCGGCCTTGTAGTTGAAGAAGGGAGCTAAAGACATGAACCTACGTTCCTGGATACCCTATGTATTGAAGATATTGAACACTCTTCGTGTCCCATTCCTGCATGCGTGAAGGAGATACTAAAGAGTTTGAAGACGGCATGCCACGGGACATGCCAAAGCGACTCTCGCCTAAGCGCATTGTGGACCATGAGATTGAGTTGGTGCTGGGTGCGAAGCCGCCTGCCTGGGCGCCTTACAGAATGTCACAACCCGAACTCGTCGAGCTTCGGAGACAGTTGACATAAATGCTGGACACGGGGATCATTGTGCCCTATAGTCCCCTTATGGGTCTCATGTGCTTCCCAAAAGAAATAGGATGACACCCTACGACTCTATGTGGATTATTGGGCCCTAAATAAAATGACTGTGAAAAACAATCACTCTATACCGCTAATGGTAGATTTGTTTGACAGACTAGGTGGTGTTGCAATGTTCACCAAAATAGACCTGAAGACAAGTTACAAACAAGTTCGGATTGTTGAGGGAGACGAACACAAGATGACCTGTGTGACAATATATGGCTCGTACGACTTCTTGGTCATGACATTTGGCTTGACTAATTCTCCAGCCACATTTTGCACCCTTATGAACCAAGTCTTTCAAGAGTACATTGACAAATTCATAGTGGTCTACTTGGACGACATTATGGTATATAGCAAAACATTGGAGGAACAACTAGAGAACCTACGGAAGGTCCTAGACCGAGTGCGGGATCATGAATTATATGTGAAGCTATCCAAGTGCTCCTTCACCCAGAAACAGATTGACTTCCTCGGACATGTCATCGAGGAAGGTCGAATCAAGATGGACCAACTGAAGATTTAGGCTGTGAAAAATTACTCTCTCATCGTACTACCATTGATAGAACTCCTAAAGAAGTCATGCCTTGGGATTGGGGTCCCAGGCGAGCGGAGGCCTTCAACGCATTGAAAGCGACTATGTCTAGTAGCCTCATCATGGCCCTTCCTGATTTGGACAAGCCATTCAAAGTAAAAACGGATGCCTTTGACTATTCTATGGGCAGAGCCTTGCTACAAGAGGACATCCTGTTGCATATGAGAGCTGGAAGTTGAAGGACGCAGAATGGCGCTACGCCGCCCACGAAAAAGAATTATTAGCTGTCGTCCACTGCCTATGCCTTTGGAGGCACTCTCTGTTGGAACCCGGTTCATGGTCAAGACGGACGACACGGTTGTTAGTCATTTCATGACCTGGCCAAAGCTAAATGGCCAACAGTCTAGGAGGCAGGAACTCCTAGCAGAATTTCACTTCAACCTGGAGTACCAAAGTGGAAAGACCAACCAAGTTGCTGATGTGCTTAGTCGAAGGGCTGGCCTAGCATCGGTGTACCTACTCACCTCCCTAAGGGGTGCGAAGTAGCCATTAGTATAAAAGATCAGATATAGGATCTACTCACCAAGGATCCTGCTGCACAATATTTGGTCGATTTGGTAGGACAGGGCAAGATGTGCCAATTCTACATGGAAGATGGGTTCCTGAAGGTAAAAGGAAACTAACTTTATGTTACTAAAGGAGGAGATCTGCGGAGGACTCTTCTGATGGAATGCCATAATACTTTGTGGGTCGGCCACCCAAGTGAAGAATGCAATGTAGTGTTGTTGCGCCGTCCATCTTTTTGGACTCAAATGGCTGATGATGTTGCTCAGTATGTGAAGACTTGCCTAGTATGCTAGAAAAACAAGTAGGACCGCTTGACATCAGCGGGACTTCTAGAGCCATTTCCTGTTCCAAAGAGACCTTGGGAAAACATGCCACTGGATTTCATTACCAGATTTCCAAAGTCGAATATCTTATAACTATCTTGGTTGTGGTGTATCGGTTTTCTAAATATGCTACATTTATAGCAGCCCCAAAATATATATCAGTAGAAGATAAAACTCAAATTTTCTTCTCTCATGTTGTCAAATACTGGGGTCTGTCGAAAGACATCATTAGTGATCGCGACTCTCGCTTCACTAGCAACTTTTGGACTCAGATCTTTAAGTGCCTCGGGTCTAAGTTGAGCCACAATTCACGTTTCCATCCGCAATCTGATGGTCAGACGAAGAGGTTCAATGGCATACTAGAGGAATACCTCCGCCATTTTGCTACCCGATCACAGAAGAATTAGGTGAAGCTTTGGATGCTGCTCAATTGTATTTCAATTCACAAAAGAGCTCTAGTACAAATAGAAGTGCTTTTAAAATTATTAGCGGGCAACAACCGCTACTCCCACACACTGTGAATGTCCCAAACATGTCGAAATCTCCTCGAGCTGCTAGTTTTTCGAAGGAATGGAAGCAAAATTTGGAGATTGTGCAGAGCTATCTTGTCAAAGCCCAAAAGCGGATAAAAAAGCATGTTGATAAAAATCGTCGCTTGGTTTAATATCAAGTAGGAGACAAAGTGATGGTAAAAATCCCAAAGCGATACTTGTTTGCAGAGGTCCATGACCTTCGCCTATTGCAAAAGTACATTGAACCGTTTTCTATTGAGAAGCACATTGAGAAAGTTGCATACCGGCTGAATACCATAGCCTGGTGGAAGATTCATCTAGTCTTCCATGTTAGCCTTCTGAAACCTTTTCGGGAAGACATGAAGGATATTTTGTGGAGCCAATTCACAATACCAGTATTTGAGGCCCTAATTCAACCGAAAATAACGTGCAAAAGCTATTCTCGATGATCGAGTGATTCATGCTTCAAGGAAAGATCACCAAGAGTTCCTGATGAAATGGCAGGGTGTGATACAGAGGAGAATAATCAGGAGAGGGGAACAAACCTCAAAGCCTACAAGAGCCTGATCGAAGATTATCTTACAAGTAAGGTGCCGAGGATGTCGCCAACTCAGGTGAGGGAGAATGTTATGGGCAGCTTTCCAGCCATGCCCCATGATCCCTTGAACGCGCCATATGGCGTCCTGGCAAGTCTCCCAACGCCTAGCGCCATGGACGGCCCCGCGGTCTTAGCTGCGCCAAGTGATAAGCACGTCTGTGCCTATGTCTCCCCACCGATAGCCCTCGCTAGCGCGCAGCCGCATGCAGATGCCAACAGCATCGCGCGCGCAATCTCTGATGCTAAAGACAAGGTTGCTGCCAACGGAGCTGCTTCTACCTTGTAGGAAACTAAGTCCTTTCTATTATAAATATAAAGTAATTTTACTTCATGTATTTCTATTATCTCTCTCTAGCTTAGTTATGTCAAGTCTTGTAACTTTGGTTTATTTTTTTAAGCATTATTAGGGGGATCAGGCAATCAAACTTTCAAGCAAGTAAACAATTCTCTGTATTGGTGTCTCTTCCCTTTGACATTGTGTTGACTTTATGTAATAGCTTTCATTAATACAATCAAGCTTTCTTTCATTCTCATTCTTTCTTTTGTTCTCTCAATTGCTCTTTATATTGGTTTTCCCGTATGGCACTGACAGTCTTGTCTTGAGTATGAGAGGATCTCAATTGGCGGATAGTAACCATACGGATATCGGTTGCTTAACCTTACGTTGTTGAAGAACAGAAGAAGCATCAAAGTAGTATTCTAGGCAGAAAAAGCAATGTTACCAATGCAACAGAAGAAGCAAAGAAGAAGAAGACAGCAGGATTACAATTGATGCTGGGCAGATGAGTGGAGCATGACGTGGAAGCATAATAGCCCTTGATATTCAAATCAGGAGATCTAATCTTGACCGTTGGATTAGAAGACATAAACACATCTGGGCCATTCATTTATTAGTGCCATACACATAAGTGAGCATATGCTCACATTTGTATTAGTGTTGATGCACTAAAGTGAGTATGGACTCACATAGTAAACAATATTTTTGTCTAGGAATATTATATGTACATTTTATGTATCTATAGGATATAGATGTATATAGAAGCAACAGTAGTGAATATACAGAAACACAGAGAAATTTTCCGCATCATCAGCTCTTTCATTCTTTCATGGTATCAGAGCAGATCTCTACTCTATCCTTGAACTTCATCTTCTAATCTTCTTCCTTTAACTCAACTTGTTCTATCACCATGACTGGAACAGATTCTTCAGTAACACCTTCTCTTTCTAGATCAACAAGTCAAGCAGTCAATCATGATGTCAACCATCCCTATTTTCTTCACTCTTCAGATGCTCCTGGGATGACTCTTGTGACCTCACCTTTTGATGGAAGAGGATTCCCAGGATGGAGAAGGTCAATACTGATTGCATTATCAGCCAAAAACAAGCTGGCATTCATCAATGGGATTTGTGATGAACCTGTCTTGGATTCAAAGGATCATGCACAATGGAGTAGGTGCAATGACATGGTAACCTCATGGCTTTTAAATTCTCTAACTAAATAGATAGGAGACAGTGTAATCTATTCCAAATCTGCAAAAGAACTTTGGAATAGTCTTGAACATAGATTTGGACAATCCAATGGAGCCAAACTCTACCACCTACAAAAGGAAGTCGCTAAGACAGTTCAGGGAAATAGCAGTATTGCAGGATACCTCACAACTCTGAAAAAGTTATGGGATGAGTTAGATTCCCTAAACTCACATCTAGGTTGCACTTGTACCTGTGTGTGTGAAGGGAAGAAGAAGGTAGCCAAGTTCCTAGAGGATCAGAGAGTCATCCAATTTCTAATGGGACTGAATGATGTGTATGCACATGCAAGAGGCAATATCCTCATGATGAGCCCACTTCCAAATATGGATCATACCTATTCTATCCTGCTGCAAGATGAAAGTCAAAGGGAAATATTTGTTAGCCCACAATATCCAACAGATGGTGCATCTTTTATGGTAGGACCTCAAGNCACTTCTGTTTCCTTTTCAGTAGCTTTAGCTGCTATCGCTACATCTACCGTAAAGCAATGGCATGTTAGGCTAGGGCATTTTCCCTTTTCAGTAATGAGAAATATGCATTTCATTAAGTTTCCCTCTAAGTTTGATTGTGTGTGTCACATCTGTCCTCAAGCTAGGCAAACCATACTGCCTTTCCTTTTGAGTCATATTAAGAGTTCTGCTATCTTTGATTTGATTCATATTGACACATTGGGACCATTCAAGACTAAGACTTATAATGGTTATAAGTATTTCTTGACTATTGTGGATGACTATAGTAGGGCCACTTGGACTTTTCTCTTAAGTTCTAAGGGGAATGCTTTTTCAGTTTTGAAATCATTTCTGTGCATGGCAGAGAGACAGTTTGACTTGAAAGTTAAGAAGATTAGATCTGATAATGCCATGGAACTGGGAAAAGGCTTACTAGAGGCAAGTTTTTTTTGAATCGGAAGGGATTATACATGAAACCTCTTGTGTTTCTACCCCTCAACAGAATGGAGTAGTTGAGAGGAAGCATAAGCATCTTTTGGAAGTAGCAAGGGCACTTTTATTTCACTCTAAGGTGCCTCTCCAATACTGGGGAGAATGTGTGTTGACAGCTACATATCTGATCAATAGAATCCCTTCTAAGGTTCTAAATGGATTAACACCCTATGAGGTATTGCTTGGTACACAACCTAGCTATGATTCACTCAAGAGTTTTGGTTGTTTGTGCTATGTCTCAACTTTGTCTCACAACAGAGGGAAATTTGAACCTAGGGCAAAAGGTTGTGTGTTCCTCGGATATGCACAACATCAGAAAGGTTACAAGGTCCTGGATCTTGTCACTAAAAGGGTGTTTGTGTCTAGAGATGTTAGGTTTCATGAAGATCAATTCCCTTTTTCCCACTCACCTCTCACATCTGATTTTCCTTTTTTTCCCTCAAGATACAATTCCAACAGATACCTTACCCCATAACTCAACAGAATACTCTTCTAGGAAATCTCTACCATCGTTTTCACC